GCCGACTATGCTGAAAGCAGTTAGGCGTCACAGTAGCATGAGACTGGAATCGCTTTGACCCGATTATCGACGATGAATTACGGTCGACCATTCTTCAGTCGTTATTATATATATTAGTTTAGCGTTGCTGAATCTTAAAATCGCATTAATCGAATTAAAAAATCGTAAGCTATAACGCTGCCCTGAGCAGTCTTTTTCGAAGCGTGCACGCATCATTCCCACACAAACGTCAGGTGAGTTAGTTAATCACTAGTCTTTTTAATTTTCCGTTGAAAGTATTCCTTTATCAGACGCACACCTAAAATTATCCAAACACGATGGTTCGTTGGTTCTCGATCAAGCGGAAATTGCTTTCTGCCAGAAGTATTTAAGTAGCGATTATGATCGCAGAATCAAGGTAATGAAAAGATAAGGGGTAAAGGTAGTGAGTTTCTTGATCAGAACTTCCCTGAAACGTCACGAATCTACTTCCATTCAAGCGTATGAATTTCAATACGACTGTGACCAGTACAATGCCTTGCCTGTAGCCGATGACAATCACTGTTTTTCATTCCTCTAAAGCAATTGCTAATCAACGCGACCCCGTGAACTTGGAAGCTTGCGTGGCCTGAAGCCCGTGATAAGGGATGTGATACCCAGACCGGGACTCAAGTGAGCGCAGACAATAGCCACTACACACTTCCCGCTCTCAGTGATGGCCTTGTTTGGCGTTTCGATGCCGTATCCGATCGCTTGCAGAATGTAAACCAGGCTGCAATCGACTTCATGCGGCGCGCACGATTAATAGTAGTAATAAATTTAGTAAATAAAGGAAAACGAAGGTAATAATATTACAGTTATGAACATGAAACACATAATATCAAGAATGCGAATACCAAGGCAACAAAAGTACAAGTGCTTTGGAGGGGGGAGGGGCATCGCGGAAAAAAGTGTGAGTTCGACAACAGTTTAAATTTTTGAAGGAAAGAAGCACCGTAAAGACCTTTGTTTTATCAACTAAAACAAACTGAGCGAGTATGAAATGAGATGTCGGTGATAATTTTGAGCGCTTAATGGCTTTGCGCCAAAGATTGACCTCGCTCCACAACTACACATGAGCTCAACTTATTGAATATAAAAATAGCTGTGCAACCGAAAAACTATTAGATTACACAAACTAAAATTAAGCAAAACAGATTAATAAATTAAATAAAGATGAATAATAACGCATGCTGTAATAGTGCATGAGTGATTGACCTCCAATGTGGCCTAGCATTGATTTGCACAGGAACAGCTATAGACTTACTCAACCGTGTTCTGCTCGGTCAAGTGGGCCTTCTTCATTGCCGAGTGGGTCAGAGCCATTGCGCCTTCGAGGACGTAACAAGGTGGTTGGTCGGTGAACCCATCAGGAGAAACTAGTTGATCGGCAAAGCTACACGAGTATATTATATACTCAATCGGAATCCTTCCGTTCTGGTTCTGTGGTCAAGAAAGAAGAGCCTTAACTACAACGAATTCGCAAAACCTTGCCCAAGCTTGCTGGAGGGCCATTCGGTAGTGCTCCCTTTCCAAATATTTATCTGATTTATTTACGTACGTCAAGAAAAAAACGGGTGATCAGTCAAGGATTGGTGGCCACCGACATCGATCTTGAAAATATACTGATTTTTTTGAACCTATCTTCTAATGATCAAGTTTTCATTTTCATTTTCATTTTGTAGGTTGCTGAATTGTTCTGTTATTATTTGGTTTTATTTTGTGTATTTAGGTTACATAGATTATTTCTAGTCAATAGTTGATACTACTCTCATGCATTAATTTTGTTGCAGAATACGCTTTTATTATATTTGCTTGAGCTATTATTAGCGGATAGTTTTGTGCTCAGCATAAGCTGATCTATTTTTGATGGTATTAGTAGGATAAGTTTATTGAGATTATCTTGCGTGCTCGTACCATATCAATTTCCAGCTAGGTTTTATAAAAATCGAATTTTTTCCGTGTGAACCAATTAGATATTAGTTTCCTTCCTACATCCAGGAACGTCATTTAACCCCGGCTGTGATAATTGCACCTCCGTAGTTTGTTTCGTCATCTTGTTGATTCAGTGCGGATAATCCTATCAAAAATTTAAATAGTTCCATAATGATATAGGTACTGTGTCCAAAAAAGTAAGACTGATGAGTTCGTACTATAAATGCTGAAAAAATCAAGGTTTACTTCCTTCGCGCGTGGTTTGGTGTGCGGCACCATGTGCCAGCACGCCGCATCGCGATGGCTTGTTAATATTCAAAACCGGCAACAGCCTGAAGTCTCGTTGTCGTTTCAGTATTGAATGGAATTACTAGCTTCGAACTGTAGAGGCTAGCTTCTTGGCCATTTTTACTGGTCGACGCCGTGTGGTTAAGGCCAGTGACAATGCATTCATATGGACACCTAAGGCATCTTTACCAGGCTTCCACAGAGGTTCTGCGTATCGCATTGTCCCCCTGTGCTCTCTGGCCTTGTGGCTGTGCTGTATTTTTCGCGCTAAACGTTTCACATTCTCTCAGTCCTTTATCGGCCAGAGGTTACAAGAGGAGAGTCTCTATCTTGCCTTTTTTATAGTTCTCTGTCACGAAAGGTCTTATTGCTTGATTGATGCTTTCTCTTCCTTTTTATCTCACTGGAGCAGCTCAGTTTGCGTGTATACCTCTCATTATGATCCATTAAACCGCGCTCTCAATGAATTTCCGATTTTGAAATTTGTATGAAAGAAATCAATGCGTCAAAAAAATTCAAAGTTTAGGCCGATTGGTAAAAATTGTGAAATCGAACCTTAAACGCAAAGTTATAGGCCCGGTTTTCTTACCTGAACATGACATTTAGACCTTTCAGAATTTCCCAGCTCCCTCCCTACCGACCCATCTTCCTGCCAGAATTGCTGGAAAAATATCGCCAGGGACTATGAAGTCGCCAGCAAAGGTTGGTACAACCTTCACTTTTGTTCATATAGGCTTGCTTTAATGTGGTTTGGAGCTTCTGTCAACGTTCTTTTCAAGGATACTATAAGTCCTTACTTTCGCTCCATTATGTCATACAGCTCACTCATTTTAGGAAACCTCTGAGAAAAACCAAAAAGAAATTTTCCCATGTGCCATCGATATTATCTAGCAGAGAAAGTGGATTTCCTAAAAAGGAAGGTGGCCGCTCTGATCGATTCGGTAATAGCCACAGGGACTTCAATTCCAGAAATTGTGCGCTCACAATTCTTTCTTTTATTCTGCATCTCGTGACGGTATTCGACGCTAGGAATCACTTGTGTTCGGTACGCATGGGCGATTTGGTGGGAAGATATGGAACACACGGAAATTCCGAGTCGTTACAATGGCGGCCATGGAACAAGGTGAGTTTTAGCTTGTTGCATCCACTAATTTAAGCCGGATACCCCTTTGATGTGCGCGGTCGCGAAGCGGTTTGATGGATAGGATTGCTATGCGTTGCAGCCGTTGTTCGTTCATGTTTTTAGAAGTCTGGTCGAAGATTGGGTTTCAGAATGAACTTCACGAATATTCTCAAGAGCACTACAGGCCTTCGTACAGTGAACATATAACCATGGCTGCTGTTCGGCTGTGGAAACGACTGAAACAAGGCGAATACTCGTTCTTCCCAAACTACACCGGTCATGGGTTAGTTTTAAGTAAACTTTTTCGGTTCCCTATTCCAATAATCTTCTACTATTTAGGCTCCCTCAGATACCGCTTTCGGCCATGCCTCGCGACGTTCCAACACAGTTTCCATTTGAGCGAAGAGGGATCGTGAAAAGTTCGCAGTCATGCCCAGGTGCAGGATACGGTAAGACCATGAACATCTGAGGAGAAGCTTGAGGATTATTTGCAGAATATTGCTATTTCAGAGCAGTCTACTCCTGGCTCACTACTACGACCGAGTGTCTCACCGTACACTTCCATGTTCTGAAAGTCGAAGTCACCTAACTCGTTTTCAACCTTATCTGACTCCTTGTTCTACCATACCTTCACCTCAATTTCCTAGTCCAGCTCCATCGGTATCCCCTCAGTCATATGACAGCCCGAAAATGCCTCCTGAATACTCTATCGCATCTCCGGGATATCTTCCGGTACCATGCTCCATTCTCACACCTCCACCGTCGGACAACTCATCCTCGTTCTCCGACTCCTTCAGTTCGAATGATTCTCTTTTGGCACAACCGTACAATCCGATCTTTGCTGAGCCGCCCCAGCAACCTCGTGCTGGAACTCCACCCACAGTCAGTGAAGAATCTCTCAACAGGGCTCCACCACAGGATAATAAGCTTGTTGAGGTAGGATCTTTCAATAAGTGATCAAACTTGAATGGTATCAATTTATCGTAAAAATTGTCCCATAATTTCAGCACCACTTCGATCCGTCTATATTGACCGAGTTTCTCCTCCCTTTGGAAGAGCCTCTCGCATGTTCGCAACCTCCAGCCTCTCCTGCTGCGCCGACGACACCAAGGGCTATCGAATCAGACCTGGGTCCAGCCGCGACCTTTCTCAAGCCTTACAGCGATTTAGGAGTGCAGGTACATTCCAGATACTAAGAAAATTATTCGTTGAATAAACCATATCCACATATTTTAGGACATTCTTTGGCAATACTCCTCAATATTCGGCTATGATCTATCAATCGACCGAGACGAGTCGATAGTATCATTGAATTTTTCGGTGTTTTTTTTCTCGCATACCCCTGTTTTCTTTGCGACATACCTGTCTTTTCTCACAGCTGTATTTTCTTTAACCTGTTGTTTGCTTTACACCTTGTTGTCTTTTATACCCTGTGTTCTTTATACCTGTGCTTTATTCGGTGTACTATTTATTGATTAACATTGTATTTGAATAATACGTTCTAGGTGATAGCTTACGCGAATAAACCTTTAAAAATCCTAAATAATTTCGGGCGGCGTTTTAATACAGTAAAGCAACAAGGATGAGTGAGCGTTTACTAGCGCTCTCAATCACTAAAGAATATTGCATATGCAATTCATATATATATATATCATTATTATTGCATATACAACTGTTTTTTATTTTCCCCCCAAAATATTGAGAAGGACCAAAAAAATGTCCACTCCCCTCACATTTGAAAACGGCTCAGGTACACTTGGTAAACACAGAAGAAATGATACCGTTTGACTCGGAGAGTATATTTTAACCTAAAAACAAACTTCATAATAGCTTCTATCGAAGATCTATCCGAAGATCTCCAGCGATGAACATAGCGTATCCTTCGAACTCAACGTCTCGACGGAGGTCGTGGATTTACATTGCGGACACCATCTGAAACATGATCAGAAAGGGACTTGTTATTCCGAGCCTACCGTCCATAGCAACCACTCACCACTCAAACGCAACTGAGAAATTATGTGGTAGCTTCAAACTGGAGCGGTTACTGTGGGCTTCCTGGAGCTCGACGATGATGGCGGATCCGCATATTCGGAGAAATGCGAAGACTGTGAAGGAACCCTGCTCCTGCTCAGGTGTAGGAGAGGGGGGGAAGGAGGGTAGAATCAGGACAAATACAAAAATAATTATATGGCACGGAGATTCAAGACATCCAGACAAATACAAAAAATTTCTATGGACGGAGATTCAGTTTTGAAAAGAATAAACTCATTGAAAATACACTCTAGGGATAGGCGAAGTAGAGCGCGCGGGTGCAAGTCAAAGGCGGGCACGCGAAAGAAGTGCGCCTTGGAACGGCCAGTGCAGGCGACGTGTTGATAAGGATAGAGGTTGAACGTTTGTGGGTGAAGAATTGAGACAAATCCATCGGTTAGAATATGAATGGTTAGCAAATGTGGGATTAGCGTTATAGTTAAAAGGATTGCCAGCGACAGCTCTTCCGGGGAACCAGTGAACGGTGTGGGAGTAAAGTAATAGAGTAGAGTAATATTTCAAAAGGTCAAAAAGAGTTTCCAGTGATAGCTCTCCGCGAACCCAGTGGAAACGTTCCCACCGCCAGCACATTTGACAGATGTCCGGCGAAAGTTTGAATGCGTAGCAGTCCTTCGTTTTTTTTCCAAATTGCTTTCCAAAACAAATGCAATTTTTTTCATTCTTTTCGTTCTTATCTTGAACGATGGGTCTCAAACCAGTGATTTATGGATGAGATAGAATCACGATTTTTTCGGAGGATCCTTCCAGGTTATTGTTATTCAAGGGCCGACATAGAATTTTTTCAGTTCCATATTCGAGCAAATCCGTACATTGGACGGAAATCCATACTCTAGTACGACGTATGTCAGTCTTTCGGAAATTTGAACTACCATTTTCTATTTAAATATTTCAATCTGAAATTTCGTATTTCTCAAGTGTTTTCACAGTACGAAACGAAGGGTACAAGGTTGTGCGCTTGTACTTTGCCATTTTCTGAGAACTTCCGTGTAAGGCATGGACATAACGTTGCAATAATGGAGGCGAAGGGTCGGGTGGGTATGTGACATTACATTCATTTTTTGCTTTTGAAAGTTTGCACTTCCTGACACCGCACGCGAAATGGGAGATGGTAAATGTTAAAGATGAAGGTGGCACAGACGCTAATGCGATCACTTAGAAAGTGCAGCAGTACAGGCTCACTCAAACCTTGAGCGATCAGGAACTGAATGTGAATCTCATCCCATGAAATTCAAAAGCGGCGATGGCTTCTAGGTGGGCTCATAGCGAAAAGTGGCGAAAAACCAGAGAAATTCATCAAGAACACGCTAAAATGGGACCGCTTTGTTTGTCTGTTGACTTTGATACAATAGGCGAAAGTGCAACCAAAAAAAGTCGTTTGAATCGTTTGCTCCGATAGCCGACATCTTTTCAACAATAACCATGCTATGGTGATAACTTTATTCCTAGACAAACTAAAGACCCGATGGCTTGCCTGAAATGCGCTTCCAAAATGAAAGGCGAACGTTGCCATAACTGGCAACAAAATGAAGGGCGGGGTAATTTTGAGACGTTACGGTTTTTGGGTTAGGAGCCTTACTGCGCTGCAACCAACACACCGTTCACCTCAACGCCATTCCTCTCTTTCTTCATTGCCTGAAGACCGCGGAGTAACCTGGCTCGGCTGGAAAGGGTGTTTGCAACAGATTCTATTCACCCTTCACGATTCTCGAAGGTGCGCGACAGGAATTCTAGGACTTGCAGTGCTCCCATTGGTGGCCCATGGGTGGTGGTTGAATCGCCGGCGCTATACAAGTGGGCGTTGGGCAGCCCAGCTTCCACGTCGTGGTCAAGTAAACTGGCCCTCACCCCCCCCCCCTTAGTTCGGCTACACTCCTCCTGCTCCTAAAATCCGCCGATCTAGTGACAATGTAGTGAGGGCAAGGCAGTCCCACTTACATACATTCTCTGCTCAAAGAATGCGCGTGCCGCACACCCCCTTGTATGCAGAATCACCGTTCTGCAGCGACGTGTGCTTGTGTCTAAGCTGAGCATGCGCTCTTTCATGATTCTGCTATTCTCCCATCAACAAACAAAACTATCTACGGCGAATTTATGAAATGATCTTACAACATCATTCCTAAATTTGAGTCGTCAGGACGGTTCGTTTGCCTTTTTTTCCTCTGGCTGCTCCTCCTTCTTGGTCATTCCCCACACCTGCCGCTTAATTATGAGCGACTCTCCGCGGAAGCATCACTATCATTCTGGTGGTGCCTTATTGTTAGAGAGTGATCAGAGTAGGCGTGCGCGTTCGTTTGTTAACATATCTTTACTGTTGTTCTTTGCGTGCTCTATCTATATTTCGACAAAATAACGCTAAGTAGGAGAGTCTAAGAAATTCAATGATCTCTTCGAGCTCTTTGTTTTGCCTTTGCTGAAGGCATATTTTAGGATCAAACTGGTGCAGTTTTTGCACATGATGCGAAGGTAACAGAGCGAAATAGGCCGACAGTAAAGGAAAGGAAAAAAAGCGCCGTGATGAAGAGCTCGCTCATCTTAGTCACGCAGCTGTGCCAAAGCATTGGGAGTCTAAGTGTGGAGAGGAGAGCATGAGGCGAGAGAGCGCAACGGACGAGAGGGGCCAGACAACAGCGTGAAAACATTGCAGCTGCTGCAGCTTACTTTGCATGGCCCTCGCGCTTTTGTCGGGTGATTTCCGTACACGGGCCAAATCTGCAAACTTCCTTTAGGGATACATCCTACAGCCGGGGTGCCTTTCACACGACTTCTGACTGGATTGTGCATTCAAAACCGTGACTTGTCGTGAATATTTTAAACACTTCCGCGAAAATGACGACTGTGCCGAAGAATGTCGAAATGAAAATTTATGAGTTGGCCGAATGCAACAAATGGAACACGAATTCGTTTGCTGGGAATAAATTTGACAGTTCTTTGCTTTTTAAGGCTAGCTTTTCTCCTCGGAGTGCATTCCTCTTCCGCTCTCGGAATGTACTAAAATAATAATTTAAAGGTGCATAGGTGCTGTAGGGACGAATTGCTTTGCTTGTAAGTGGGGCTATATACCACACGCCCGGCCAGATGAACTATAGTATGTGGATAGTGCACCGTTCAGCCCCTCCATCCCTTCGCGGCCCAGTGATTGGCACCAGATTTACATGGGAGAATAGAAACATTGACCTGTAAATGGGCTGTCTTCCGCAAAATTCTATAGGCCTAATCAGCATTCATAATGACACCACGATCCTAAAGAGAGACGAATGCGTGGCGCATCTCAAAAACTGACTAATCGACACCGAACGTCCAATCCTTCTTGGATTAAAAGAGAATTTTGTGGGAACAAGGACTTGTGTGTGGGTGACTTTTCAGAACAAACAACACTTTTTATGAAGCACAAGGCTTACCAGGCAACTTATCTAGGCGTTGTCCTCTTTCCACAGTATTGCATTTGAAGAGAATTGCAACTAATCGAATTATAAAAAATTTCCGTTTCCAGGAGAAATTCACGAAAAAAGTGGACTAACATGGCTTTTTTTCAGTCCGGTCAATTTTGTAATG